TGGCTTCTGAGAAATCAGTTTCTTACCACCGTAAGACCCTTCTATAATGAAGTAGTTTTCCTCTGGCTTCTCTTGGGATTTTGGCTTTCTATTGTTAACTTCCTATAATTTGAAAATATGTCTAGGTATAGTTTTTGTTGTCATTTTATTGTTGGTATTGGTGTTCTTAGCTTGCCTGGACCTATGGCTTGCTATATGATTTGGGAAAAATTTCAGTCATTATTATTTCAGATATTCTGTTCCTTTCCCTCCTCACCTTCTAGTATTACCTGTCTGTCATCTGTTTATCTGATGTATATTTATGCATATAAGTGTATAAAACACATAGATATGCATATATATTTGTATATTCTGTATGTTTCATAGTTCTTGCATATGCTGACCCATATAGCTCAGGCATTGCTGTTTTCTTTTCTTCACTTTTCTGTCTGGAAATTTCTATAGTGATACAGTCAAGTTCAGAGAGTCTTCCTTCAGTCTGGTGTTTCACACCCAAGCTGTATGTATTAAACAGACTGAAAGAAAGTAATGCTATCTTTGTTTCCCCCTCAGGCCTTTCCCCTGGTTTGATCTGACTATTGCGCAACTCAAGGAGACGCCCTTCAGCCAGCATCTCTCAACAACTCCTGTCCTCCAGGAACACCTTACTCTTCTATACTGCAAATCATTCGGCATCCCCCTAGTCAGAGAGAAATCACCAGAGGCCCCCAAAGCTTCTCCATCCCAAGGGGTCGGGGCCGACAAAGAGCCACGCACTGTGTCTGAGAGCTGAACTAATGACTTGGGTGTAGAATAAAATAAGAGGTCCACATACATCAATATACTTGGGTGTATCTAGCTTTTTGACACAACCTAGTACATTGCTTCCCCCCAGAAAGCCTTTTTAACACAAATTATTTCTCTTCTAAATGCTAAATCCAAGTAATTTTGTCATAATCATACAACCAAACAGGAAACCTTCTTTCCCTGTGATAATATAAAGTTTGATTTTCCTACTTTTTTGGGTAGAGAAATAAGTGTTGGGTGAGCAATCTTAGTTGAAGTCTGATTAATTCTTACTTGTTTTAGTTATATATGACTATTCGAGAATGGCTATTTAAAGCTATTCCCATTTAAACCACTTAAATCCATAAAGCCATAAAAACATTACTGGTAAAGATGTAGCTCAGCTGGTGGGGTGCCAGCCTAGGATGCACAGAACTGTGTGCTCAGTCATAAGCACCCCACAAATTTGGTGAGGTGGCACCTGCTTGCAATCCCAGCACTTAGGAGGTGGAGGCAGGAGGATCAGACCTTGAAGGTTGTCCTTGGCTACATAGTGAATTTGAGGCCAGCCTGAGATATAGGAGACCATGTCCGTGCCCCCCAAAGGCCCCCCAGGCTCCCAGTCAACCAGCACCACCACCACAAACAAAAAAGCTGCTGCTGCTGCTGGTGGTGCATGCCTTTAATTCCTAAACTCATGAGGCAGAGGTGAGTTCAAGGCCAGCCTGGTTCCAAAATATCAAGTTCCAGGATAGCCAGGGCTGTTGCATAGAGAAACCCTGTCCTGAAAAACCTGAAACAAAAGCAGACACACACAGAGGGATGCAGAGTGGTGCAGAGGGATGCAGAGGGATGTAGAGGGATGCAGAGTGGTGTAGAGGGATGCAGAGGGATGTAGAGGGATGCAGAGTGGTGCAGAGAGATGCAGAGTGGTCCAGAGGGATGCAGAGGGATGTAGAGGGATGCAGAGTGGTGCAGAGGGATGCAGAGTGGTGCAGAGGGATGCAGAGGGATGCAGAGGGATGCAGAGTGGTGCAGAGAGATGCAGAGTGGTCCAGAGGGATGCAGAGGGATGTAGAGGGATGCAGAGGGATGTAGAGGGATGCAGAGGGATGCAGAGTGGTGCAGAGGGATGCAGAGTGGTGCAGAGTGGTGCAGAGGGATGCAGAGTGGTGCAGAGGGATGCAGAGTGGTGCAGAGGGATGCAGAGGGATGCAGAGGGATGCAGAGGGATGTAGAGGGATGCAGAGGGATGCAGAGTGGTGCAGAGGGATGCAGAGTGGTACAGAGGGATGCACATGTCTATAATCCCAGCACCAGGAGTCTGCAGCAGGAAGTTGGCCAGTCTTGGGCCACGGGTGAGACCCTGTCTTAAAACAGACAGATACGAAACAAAAAAGCACACTCAAATCTGGCACTTAAAAATCCTTGAAAAGGTTTTGCAAAATACTGATCTTATTTCTATGGTGTACACTTGCTCCATGCTTTACAAATTTTTGTCAATTACAATAGAGATGAAAACAAAAGCAGTGACCCCAGCATGCCGAGAAATGAAGTTGCTAGCTTTGCCACTGGGCAGAGTCATGTTTTTGGAATGCTCAGGGGCTTTTGGGCAAAACCATGCAGAATACATGGAAATCACCCTGGTCTTATAGTAACCATTTGCATTTTGTTATTTTGCATAGTAATACACTAAGTAAATTCAATGGTTCGAGAATGATTTCTTTTTATCTTCTTATTTACTTATTTATTTAGGACAGTTTCTGATAAAACTCCCTACTCCATCAGACACAGATATGCAGCACGTGCATTAGCTTGTTCCATTAAGGTGTGCAGAGGGACAAGGTGCGTCATTGCCTGCTGCTCTGTCAGCACCACAGTGGACGTGAGACAGAGGCACTGAGGAGATGCCTCAGAGGATGAAGTGCTTGCTGCCCCCAAAAGATGACTAGAGCTTGGCTCCTCAGAACCCCAGTCAAACTGAGAGGGGAGGTGGAGACAGGAAATCCCTCATGGGACAAGCTGGCTACCCAGACTAGCCAAGTCAATGAGCTCTGAGAGTCCCTGCCTCTGTAAACAATGTGACAGTGATTACGGTGATGGGGAAGACACGTGGCAGCAACTTCTCATCTCCATTGCACCCACACGTGTGCCCCCACTAACAGGCACACACACACATGCGCATAAAGAACACACACACACACAGAATGCACACACAGGTAAAGAACACACACATACATATAGAACACACACACGCACACATATAAAGAACACACACACACCAACATGGTAGTTTGCAAGCCTTTGTAATTCCAGTTCCAGGCAATGTGATGCCCTCTTCTGGACTCACTGGGAACTGCACTCATGTAGACCATAACCACACACAGGCCAAACATCCGTACATATAAAATAACAATCTTAAAAATAAGAAATACCACCATAGGCTAACCCATTGACCCCCACACAAATTGCAGATCTTTAGTTTTGAAGATGTATGTCTTTCAAAAAGCTGAATATGCCTCTTGCCAACTTAGTAACTCATGATGGTCTTTTGGGGAGCCTTGGGGCCGTTGTCTGAAGTGTGAGCAATGAGGAAGGTGGTGTCTTCCTATCTATAGGACGTGTTTCTCAATCTATGGGTTACGGACCTGGGGGGGGGGATGACCTTTCATAGGAGTTGTCTATGACCATCGGTAAGCACATATATCTACACGATGATTCATAGCAGCAGCAAAATTACAGTTCTGACATAGCAATGAAAATGATTTCATGGTTGGGGGTCATCACAACACGTGGAACTGTGTTAAAGGGTTGTGGCATTAGGAAGGTTGAGGACCACTGACCTAGGGGCTTGGTGCCAAGCAGTAGCTGCTTGTCATCAAGAACTCTCCTTCTACTTAATAAAAAAGAATTTTCCCTCCATTTGGATACAGTTCATCTGCACGTAAAAGATTGTGCCTGCCTGTTTGAAAGCGAGCTCTCAAGTCTCTGGAAGCTCTTTAGTGGTCTATCTGCGCTGTGTACCAGTTGTGTGCTCATCCAAGAATAAAATAGCTCTTTTTCTTTAGCGAACTCATGAAGTTTAATTAGGATTACTTACAAAAGCATGGGTGAGTGGCTAATTATGGAACGTGGACAGCTTATTAGTGGCTGTACCACTGAAGTTCGTCCTTCCTTCCCTGGTAAATATTAATGCCTATGGGCCTTCATGGAGGAGTAGGGTTGTCATAGCAGCCCCCCAACAATCATATGAATCCTCAGGGAGTGATAGGTCTTCTGAGCTCCTCCTGTCACTGCATGATGGAACACTGGCAGACATCTGCTCCTTTTAAACACGAATTTCAGCTTTCTCCATGACCACGCTTTGTGTAACAAGTTACTACATTGCTATATCTTTGTCTTGCTGTCCTTAATTCGTCATCTAAACACATTTCGGATATTCTGTCACCTCGTGGGGAATATCTGGCATTTTCTAATTCAGGCTTTCTGTGTTTGTAGTTATAAGCACTACAAATATCATGTGCTGGCTTCTGGCCTGCATTGGTTTTGTTTCATGGTAGAAAGTGTAGAAATGCTGTCTTTTTCCTTTTAGTCACGTGGTTTCCTTCCTTCCAAGACTTAGGTATGTCTTACACAAACTCCCATGTGATAGCTTTTTGGTGCCTACTTTTTTTTCTTTCTGTCACATGTGCATCAGTGTCTTACTATGGGTGTGTGTTGGGTCCCCTGGAAAAGCAGTCAGTGCTCTTAACCTCTGAGTCATCTCTCCAGCTCCCTATTGTTTCTCATTTATTGCTCAAATGCTTGGGCATCTTTCGACTGTATCTAAGTTGTTATTCTTAGCTTTTTTATCTTTATTTTAGAAATTCCCCTCAAATATGCTTAAAGCATTGCTCAGCTGTTTTGTTATTTTCTAAGTCTAAATTATGTTCTCTTAAGCAAACCTTAGAAGATCAATAGCACCCGTCTTCCAGGAACCATGAGCTTTCCTGGAAGACACTTTCAAAACTGGGTTCTTTTCCAGAAAAGGTCTGAAGTAGCCCAGACATCTTTCTCCTCACAACTACTACTTGTCAAATAAGGAGGCATCGAAAAATAGATATGTGGCCAGGTGGTGGTGGCCCATGCCTTTAATTCCAGCACTTGGGAGGCAGAGGACAGCCTGGTCTACAGAGAGAGTTTCCAGGACAGCCAGGGCTATTACACAGAGAAAACCTGTCTCGAAAAACCAAGAAAAAAAAAGATGTGTGTGTGTGTGTGTGTGTGTGTGTGTGTGCAGGTACCCATGGAGGCCATAAGAGCATCAGATCCCTTGGAGATGGAGTTGTGCTGAGTGAGCCATATCTCCAGCTCCAGAAGGTACTCTTTTGTACATGATTCTTTTTATATGTATGAGTGTGCATGTGCACATGTGCCTGGTGTCTAAGGCAGACAGAAGAGAGGTCAGGTTCCTGGAGCTGGAGTTGGAGGTGGTTGTGAGCCACCTTGTGGTGCTGGGACCTGAACCAGGACCCTCTTTAGAGCAACTATTATTAATCGCCCAGCCATCTCTCCAGCTCTGGAAGGTACTTGCTCTGAGTGCTCTGCCTTTGGGGTTACAGTGAGCCTTCCTTGGAACAGACAACAGTTTTGGGGTTTTTTTGGAGAATTTTTATGAACACTCTAATTTCTGACAGGTGTCATGTTTATTTAACATTTCCTCAAAAGCAGATGCCCTGAATGAATGCATCTTTTCTCACAACTATTTTTTAAATTAGTGTGTGTGTCTGTTATGTATGGAGGTGCAGCATACACATAGATGTCAGTGCTAACTTTGGGGACTTGGTCCTCTCCTTCTGCCATGGGCTCTAGGGATTTGACTGGGGTCCTTAGGCTTACACAGCAGGAACTTTTACCCATAGGCCTTACTGACAAGCCTTTATGTGCCTTTTCTATCGCATCTCTCTTCCTTGCTGGTTCTTTAGTCGTTTCTTACAGATGTGAAAGTGGAGGATTACCTTCCTAGTCAAGGTTCAGTTGCTTTTTCTGTCACAGCACATGATTAAGTCTTTTGTGCTTTTCCCGTTTGTTCTAAACCTGGCTCGACTGATTTGAATGTTTGCACATCCTTGATTCTTTCCACCTGGTCTGGAAAGGGCTCTCTCCGAGCAAGGCTGCAATGCAGATGTTTCTCAGGCTCCTCTGTCACTTGTCCGTTTACTTGTACTATTTCATCAACTCCAGTGTAAACAAATGGAAGACAGCGGAGACGCTCAGAGTCCTGTGGCTGTTGTCATCTTCCTTCCCACTCTGAAAGTGCATGGCTTTCCCAGGCCACCGCTCTGCTCTCCCTTCCTGAAGATGCTTATTTTCACTGTCATTGAGCCTTCCGGTCTTTCACTGATGTCCCTAGTCACCTAGTTCACGTTTCTGGCTCCACAGTGTCTTCCTTTGGTTTGGATGGTAAACTGGGGAGACAAAACAACAACAACAAAACAGAAGAAAACACTCTGGAAGTTGACTGATATTTGGGGACTGTTTTAAGCTCCATTTTAAATAAAAAAAAAAAGTCTAGGTAGGCAGTGGTGGTGCACTCCTTTAATCCCAGCACTCGGGAGGCAGAGGCAGGAGGATCTCTGAGTTTGAGGCCAGCCTGGTCTACGGAGTGAGTTCCAGGACAGCCAGGGCTACACAGAGAAATCCTGTCTCAAGAAACCAAATAAATAAACCAATAAATAAGAATCTTGTTTACTGTGTAAGCATGCTCGCCTGCATGAGTTTGTGAGCACACTTGTCGGATGCTCATGGACACCAGAAGTTGGCCTCGAGTCCTGGCAGTGGAGTTTGGGGTGGCTGAGACTGGGTGCTGGCAACTAAACAAGGGTCCTTCCACAGGCACAGCCAGCATGATATGCTGAGCCAGCGTTCCATCCCCTCTATCTGCATTTTTATTCTCAGAATCACTGTACTCAGACTAAGACATTTCACAGTTCTCTCTTAGTACCAAAATTAGTCATCTCATCTGATGTATGCCAGGGATCATCAGCTGCTCAACATACAGGGGTGTGGTGACTCCAAATCAGCATCACTGCAAAGTCCCATCCCATCTTATAAGCAGCATCACAGAATCCCTACAAAAGATTTTTAAAAACCATTTATTTATGTGGCTTTCTGAGACCTGTTATATCTCAGGCTGGCCTCAGATTCATGATCCTCCTGCCTTCCTATGCCTAGTTCTAGGATTAGGGGTATGTACGATGTGTTGCTGAGACTTTTTTTCCAATAATTTCCCTAATAAATCATAGCACTAGGTTTATTCAACACAAATTCTGAAAATTATGTTGGAAGACAATTATTGCTAGCTTTATCACAGAGAAGATGCTGTGTGTGAGTCAGGGAAGACTTAATACTAGAGCCAGCAGTCCTAACTTCTATCCTTCTTAAAAAGAAGAAAACGGAAAATGACCATGCCTCTTGCCCTAACTAATTTCGTTTGATCTTTCGAGCTGAGTGAGATAGTTTTCTCTGCTGCTCCGTGTCCAGCAGCGCCTCACTCTTTCCTGAAGAAGAAGTCTTACAGCAATGCCTCCTTTTCTTCTTGGCTGCTGTCTGGTAGTGGGGACTCATGCTTCTCCATGGTGTCTATCTCCAGATCATACTCCTGCAATCCTGCCGCTTTCACAAATTCAGACAAGGTCAGGGAGGCAGACATGACTCCACTGTGCCCCTTCCGCTCTAAGAACAAGCCTATATTGTCCCTGTAGGGAAGACTGATGCTGCGGCTGAACAGCGGCTCTTTGATTCCTAGAAGTTCTCGAGTATGATGAGATATTGTCTGAAATGAAAGGGTAATATTTTTAGTGAGACTTGCTTGAAAAATACAAGGAAATCAAACCGTTATTCAGTGTTTCCATGTCTCTTGACTGCTAATTACTTAAATTATTTCAGTGACAGAATAGTGACAAAAAAATCACAGGCTTACTAAACTGGCCCAATAACACACACACACACACACACACACACACACACACACACACACACACACACACACACACCCGCCTCTTGCCTGAGACAGGGTATTTGTATAGACCCAGTTGTCCTGGAACTCTCTCTGTAGACCAGGCTGACCTCAAACTCAAGAGATCCACTTGTTTCTGCCTCCCGAGTGCTGGGATTAAAGCTGTGCACCACCATGCCCAGCTAAAACTAAGTTCTTACATGCTGAATCTTCTGAGTGCTGGGGCTGCATGTGTGAGCCATGCTCAGCTTCCCATTTATGCAGGGTTTTGGAAAAGACAAAATTAACAGGGACAAACAGATGATTGCCAAGAGTCAGAATATAAGGGTGGCTGACAGTGACGAGGACCCAGAAGATGTGTGAATTCCAGGAAACAGTTTCATATGGTTCTCTAAGTGCTTGACATCCAGAGAGTTCAACAACAAAGAATGGCTTTGCTGTATGATACTTTGAAAAGTCGAGTGCTGAGTGACTAGGATGGAGTATAGGTGAGGACAATTATAAACTTAAGGTATAATTACTCTGAAGTGGGTAGGAAGGAAAGAGGCTAATATAGGTTACTTTAACTTGTACCAGATACTGTAAGTCTTTTTTTAAAGATTTATTTATTTATTTTATATATACAAGTGCTCTATCTGCATGTATAGAAGAGGGCGTCAGATCCTGCTATAGATCATTGTAAGCCACCATGTGTGTGCTGGGAACTGAACTCAGGACTGAAGGCGTGCTGTAATGATTTCACTAGACCCAAGATAAATGAAAAATGGGTATTTATTGGGCAACAATGACACAGATAAATGCAAAGAACCGAGGGAGCGCTTCACTACCCTTCCTAATGGATGGGCTGACCCAAGAGAAAGGACTGTGAAAAAAGAAGCCTCGCCTCAAGCTTCCCTCTTTCTGCTTCCAGTTGCCTGAAGCCATGCCCAAAGGGGTGTGCTCACCGTTACAGGCAAGACCACTACACAGGACCTCTGAAAGAGTAGCATGTGCTCTTAATCATTGAGCCATGTCTCCAGCCCAATACTATAAGTCTCAAAGACGAAAACAAATCAACACAAACATTGTAATTTATAAGGTAAAATTGTCTCTTAAAGGGACACATTCTTGAACTGGCATTTTGGAGCCCATTCCCTATTGAGGGATACCTTTCTCAGCTTCGATACAGGAGGGAAGGGCTTGGTTCTGCCTCAACTTGATATGCCAGACTTTGTTGACTCCCCATGGGAAGCTTTACTCTTTCTGAGTTGTGGAGGGGGTATGTTGGGAGGGGGGAAGGAAGAGGGAACTGTGGTTGGTATGTAAAATGCAAAAAAAAAACACTTTTAAATTAAAAAAACAAAAAAAAGTTACACATGCTTATATATGGAAAGAGTCAAGTTTCTCACTATCATAAAAAGTTGTAAGTAAGCAACAGGGCTTGGAGCTATGAAGGCTGGAAAGGCTAGAACAAACCTATGCTGTAAAGAATCAGAGGCCAGTATGTGTATATTATCTCAAATATAAGTAGATATCAAAATAGACATTTGTGTAACGGGTCTGACACTACTTGGGAGATGACACTTCAGTAGCAACGTGCACAACCAATTCCTACACTAAATATTCTCTGAGAAAAATAACCAGGGCTTTGTGGAGACATGGTTAATTTTAGAGCTGCAAGAAGGAAAATGCAAAATGAGTCCAAAGCTTCCTGTAGTCCAGAAAGAAGAGACACTTAACGGGGAGGAGAGAACATGTCAAAGGAAGATGAAACTCAATCGGAACATGTACCCAGTTGTCAAAGATGGAAGTTTTGAGCAACAAAGCAACTAATGATAGTGCTGGGTTGTAATCCAAACAATAACTGACCACGAGTCCAAACTGATGTAGATGATGAAATGGATTTTTTAAGTGAGGGAAAAGGAACTGTAAAAGACTTTCCCATGGAAGAATTCCAACCAACCACAGAAGGAATGAAGGAAAGAAAAAGTCATTATAAAGTAGCATGGTAGTAACTATGGGCAGCATCTCATGATAAATGCAAAAGTCTGGACAAAGTCCTAAGGAGGGGCAGGATGTTTACACAGCTTCAACTCATAAATCACTGGTGTGCTGCTGTGAATGTGTGGTACTTAAATAGTTAACAGTGAGGCAAATATACCAAAATTGCTGAGACAGCATGAAGTTTATAAGGGAGGCTGTGTTTTGATTGATTGATTGTGATGACACAGGGTCTCACCATAAGAGTCAGTTTACTTTAAACTCTGTGTATCCCAGGATAGCCTTGAACTCATCAACATCCTGCCTTACTTAGACTCCCTAGTGTTAGAAATTCAGGCATAAACCACGTGCTTGATTATAGCCATTCAAAATTCCTGGTTCAAGGCTATACTTTAGAATCATAGATAATTTGTTCTAAATAAGCGGTTCACCTATATTATTCCCCAAATAATTGTCACTCAGTTCTTATATTTTGAGATCCTTTTTTCTTATTGTTCATTTAGTAGATGTCCTACTACTGTGTACCTCCCTTTTAATTTTGTTTTGAGACAGGGTCTCACTAAGTCACCCAGGCTGACTTTGAGCGTGTGATCCTCCTGCCTCAGCCTCTGAGTAGCTGAGTGGTGCCACCACATCTTTCTTGAGGAATCATTTTCCAAGAGACAGGACAGAGGCAAGTGTGCTGTTCTTTTGTCTAGCCTATCCTCAGAATAAACAAAACTGATATAAGCGCTGCTCGGGGGAAACTGTGGATGGATTAGTTGCCATAATAACAGCACTGAATTAAAAGTGCTTCATGTTGGGGCTGGAAGTATAGCTTAGCAATAGGGTGATAGATTGGCATACTCAAGTCCTTGAGTCCTGAGTTCCAGCACTGTAAAACCAAATCAAGCAAGCAAGAAACAGACAGGTCTGTCTGTTAGTGAGGAGGTTGGCTAAAGTTGACCATTCGGGCCAGTTGTGGTAGATAATGCTTATAATCCTAGCACTTGTGAAAGTAAGGTAGAAGGATTATCATGAGCTACAGGCTAGCCTGGGCTACACAGTGAGTCCCAGGCTAGCCCAGACAGTGTCTCAGAAAAGAAAAACCCTTCAAAAATTAACAAAGTTAATGTATGGTCTGGGAAGTAGATGTGTGTCTTAGGTTAGCTCTTTGGTTATTCCTACAAGTCAAGTAAACCTTATGCAACTATTGAATGACTTGAGTGTCATGTTACACTTGTGACCTCAAGGAGAAGCCACATTTTCCTGATGATTTACACAAGTATGCCAAAGTTTGCTTATTAAAATTTCTTGAGGTGCCGGAGAGATGGCTCAGTGGTTAAGAGCACAGGCTGCTTTTCTAAAGGACCTGGGTTCAATTTCTAGCAATCACATAGCAGCTGTCTGTAACTCCAGTTCCAGGGAGACCCTATACAGATATACATACATGTAAAACAGCAACATATTTAAAAATAAATAAATTGTAAAAAACTTCTTGAGATATAAAGATTGCCTGTAGACTCATCATTTACTTTGGAGTACTTCCTTAGATTTTTAAGACCTCTTGTTTCTTGCACAGAAGAAAAACCAACCATGATCAGGATTTTGACACAGCCCATAGATATTATTCCTTTGGAATTAGAATGTCCAGTGAGCAACATGACTTTGGTGGACTCTTAAAAATGTTTTCTCATGATGAAGAGCTGAAAGTCTTGTTACTTAAATGTTGCAGGGCTTTGGTTGCCAGTAAAGACTCAGGAGTCAGATGCTGGGGAGAAAACCTGCTAGCTCAGCGGGCAACTCTGACCTTCCTCCAGCACCCAGCTGATCTTCCTTCCTCCTGCTCGATGTTCCAGAAAGAGAGCTTTCTCCTACATTGTCTCAAACAAAACTCCTCAAACTGATTGTTCCTCTCTTCCACTTCCTGTGCATTTCTCTATCTGTCTTCTTGACTCCCTCTCACTCTCTATGTTTTTTTTTTCTGTCAACTAGTTGCCATTTTAATCCTGTTTACATTATGGCTGACTTTATTTAATCCAGATTACATATTCAAGCAGAAAGCTCTTAGATTAAAGGTGTGTACTAGGCCTGAGCCACTCAACAACTAGAATAGAGTTTGTCAGTAAACAATGCAATGGTTTCACAGCATGATCAGATATCCTGCAACAAACAGAATTCAGTAGACTTTAAGTAGATGTTGGAGTCACAAAGAAGAATGCTATCATTCTTTTAACATAAAAAGAATAGGAGTTTGACCTTGTAGACCTTGGCAGCCATGTGAAGGCATGGTTGGAATGCCATATATGGTAAGAGGGCTTGTCTATGTTATGTACCTGGAAGTTTGTGGCAATTAGAACATTCATTTTGAGGGCTGGAGAGATGGCTCAGTGGTTAAGACCACTGGCTGTTCTTCCAGAGGTCCTGAGTTCAATTCTCAGCACCCACATGGTGGCTTACAACCATCTGTAATAAGATCTGGTGCCCTCTTCTGGCTTGTAGGCATACATGCAGGCAGAATACTGTGTACATAATAAATAAAAAGTCTTTAAAAAAAAGAATATTTGTTTATCGAGGATGAACATGAGTCCCAGAAAAGCATTTACATTCTGATCTTAAGCCTTTGTGAATGGTCTTTTGCAAGCTGTTCCATCTGTGAATGGTCTTTTGCAAGCTGTTCCATCTCTGTGGAACTAGGCTTTCTCTTCTGAGGATTAGGTAGATCTATGTGTATAGCGTTTAATACATAGTAAGTTCTCAGCAAAGCGCACCGACTAGTTGAATGAATGAGTTGAATGTTCAGTTAGGACTCCATGCTTTAATGGTTTAAAGACTCTCTAATTGTCAGTAGAAAGACTTGAATATTCACAAGTACATTTTTCTTTTCTGAGTCATGTGGTTTACAGAATAATATGGTTCTAAGAATTGATAAAGAGTTTTAGGGAACATATTCCAGATTCTTTCATTTTAATTAGTTAAATAATTTGGAGGATTGTCTTAGTCACTGCTCTCTTCCTGTGAGGAGACACCATGACCACTCAGACGGGGTTTCTCTGTGGCTCTGGAGGCTGTCCTGGAACTCGCTCTGTAGACCAGACTGGCCTCAAACTCACAAAGATCCACCTGCCTCTGCCTTCCGAGTGCTGGGATTAAAGGCATACACCACCATCGCCTGGTGACCACAGCAACTCTTTTTTTTGTTTGTTTTTGTTTTTGTTTTACGAGACAGGGTTTCTCTGTATTGTTTTGGAGGCTGTTGGTCCAGCCTGGCCTCGAACTAACAGAGATCTGCCTGCCTCTGCCTCCCGAGTGCTGGGATTAAAGGCGTGCGCCACCACCGCCCGGCTTCACAGCAACTCTTATAAAACAAACATTTAACTGGGTGGTGGTGGTGCATACCTTTAGTCCTAGTACTAGGGAAGCAGAGGCAGGCAGATCTCTGAGTTTGAGACCAACTTAGTCTATAGAGTGAGTTCCAGTACAAGCCAGGGCTACACAGAAAAATCCTGTTTCAAAAAACAAAAACAAAGCAAAACAAAAAGAAAGCATTTAATTGGGGACTTGCTTACAGTCAAGAGGTTTAGTCTATTATGGTTATGGTGGGAAGCATGGCAGTATGCATCCAGATCTATACAAGGCCACACCACTTAACCCTTCTCAAAAACTGCCCCTCCCTGTTGACGAAGCATTCCAATATATGAGCCTATGGGGGGTCACTCTTACTTAAACCACACAATGGTGAAGACTAGGAATCCATCTTTTTAAAAAAATTGAACCTGAGCTGGGTGGTGGTGGCTCACTTCAATCTCAATATTTGGAAGGCTGTGGCAGGTGGACCTCTGAAGTTCGAAGCAAGAGATCTCTGAAGTTCTAGGACAGGCTGAGCTGCAAAGTTCCAGGACAGCCAGGTCTACACAGAGAAACTCTTGTCTTGAAAAACAAACAAACAAAAAAATAGAAACATATGAAACCTAAGAAATTATTCTATTCCAAATAAAAAGTCTTCATTTCAAAAGACCCTTTAAAAAAACACCAAATCTATTTCTGAAGACCATGTTTAGAAGCTACTGCAGAAGAACATTTACAGGCTTCCTATACCAAACAGGCCCTACTATGTTTGGGGGAAGTGCTATAAAAAAGGAGTTATGTATGCTATGCTTTGTAAAGCTATAAAACACCACAAAAGGAAGGAATGCTTAAGTCAAGAAGACTGGGCATGGACTAGTCAGTGCTCGATAGATGAGGCCTATGTAACTTGTGTGCAAGCCAGGCCGCAAAGTAGGTAAAGTACAGATGATATTCCATTAAGCACCAAATGGGTACTGAAGACGAGAGATGTTACTGAGAACCCTGGAAGAGAGGATATTATTGGACAGCAACATCAAGAACAATTCTTCTAAAATAGTGCCACTTCCTAATGATTAAACATTCAAATAAATGAGCCTATGGGGCCACTCTTATTCAAACCATTTCTTTGGAGATAAGGAGGAACTGGTTCTAGAAGAGGATAATGTTCACGTCCATCCTACAAGGGAATGGGAACTGAGCAAAGACACACAGGGAGACGTGCACTAACAGGCAGGAGGCTGAGTTAGACCTGGCAGTCTGGAGAAGACTCGTGCAGCACAGTGGCAGCCTGGAGAGATGGTGGCTGGAGCAAACTTATGAAGGACCTGGAATCCTAAACCAAGAGTTGGGACTATTGTCGGAGATGACTTTTAACAGTATGTAAGTTGTGGGAAACCAAGCAGCTAAAGAGCCCAGAACCCTTGAGTCCAGCAGGCTCCCCGAGAAAGGCTAAAAGTGGGAAGGCAGGAAGCACTACAGTGTGCTAGGTACGGCAGTAAAAGTCTGGAGAGCAGCAATGAAGGAACCCAGACAGTGTAAGTGACACAGGAGGAAGTGACAGTTCTCACCTCTGTGGTCACCACTGTAAGCCTGAGGGATGAGAGTGTGAAGACACCCTGGACCAAACAGGGTAAAGAGGACGGTCTGGGACAGACGGTAGGCAGCAAGGACCCTACTGCACAGCTTACCTTCATGTCCTCAAAATCAGTTATCCCCATCTGAGGCAGGTTGCAGCAGTTCACGTGGATGAGCTTTTGACCATTGATGAAGTTTGCAGTGAAACACTCCTGTCAGCACAAGAAGAACAGTACTTAGACATGAGCTACTGCAACTGAAGAAAAGAGAGACAAACCCACATTTTTTCTTTCTTTTTTTTTGTTTTTGTTTTGTTTTTACGAGACAGGGTTTCTCTGTATTGTTTTGGAGGCTGTCGGTCCAGCCCAGCCTCGAACTCACAGAGATCCGCCTGCCTCTGCCTCCCGAGTGCTGGGATTAAAGGCGTGTGCCACCACCACCCGGCACATTTTTTCTTAAATAATCAAAGTTCTGGGTTAAATTTCATGTTGTGGCTTCCATCCGCTTTTTCATGTTCTGACTAATTTTTCTTTCTATGGCTTTTTTTGGGGGGCAGGGCTAAGGAAAGGGGTCACTCTTTAGCTCAGGCTGAACTGGAACTCAGTCTGGCCTCCAACCCACAGAGTGGGTCTCTTGTCTCCTGAGTGCTAGGATTACAGACTGGAGCCACCATGCTCAGTCTCAAGGGCATTTTTAAGTGCAAAAGGTTTTCCATCTTGTGTTTTGTGGCAACCAAATGCCGTAGTTGGCATCAATAAATTAACGCATACTATTTTTGATAAAGCCAATTTAGGCTTATAGCTAACATGCATTAATATTTCTTAGGGCTCATGATATATATGACATATTTGGGCAGACCGTTAAGATTAAGAGTTCAAATTTGGGGTAAGGGAGTTGCCACGGAGACATCTTGACAAAAGTGCAGAAAGGCCTGATTTTGCCTAAATGTATTAAAAATATAGATTTCTATGAAAAGAGGACTTCACACACCTTTTTACCATTATGCAAGGAATGAAGAGAATAATTGTGATGAATAGGAAAAGCAAATATAACCTTTTCTTCCAAAATACTATATGTGTATACACACATATCTGTATCAGTTATAGGTTAAACGTGCATGTTTAATATGTGCTAATGTCCTGGGTTCAGTCTTCATCACCACACACACAATGCAGAAAAAGATACACACATAATCCAAATTTACTTCCCCCACAGTCCAGGAAGTCTCTGTATTTCTAGTGAAAAAGAGGCAAGAGAGCATGCCAGTAGAGAGGAGAAAATTGGGTTGGAGGATGTGACTTCAAAAAAAAACACTGTTTTTGTATACCTTGTATTGAGGGAACCCTAGCTCACCAATCCACTCTGCAACCATCTCTGGGCTCCACTTAAGGTGTTCAAATTGTAATCTAGCACTTTTGTTGATCTTGGGTTCTTCATGTCCCATCTTCTCCAATCCCTGGGGTAAAGTGACGACTTTCTTTTCACTAACCGAATCTCTCAGTTCCACCTGAGACTCTGAAGCAGGAGCGCTTGTAAATACTTCACAGGTATCAACTTGACGCTCTTTGGGGAGCTCCTGAGATTCATAATCTGTACCAGCGGACTCAATACTTTCTCTGGAAGATCCTACCACAAACTCATTTTTAGTCTTGCTAGTTTCTTTTTCTGGCATCTTTTTGTGGTATTCAGTGAATACTATCTCATCCTTGTCCACAGGATACTTAAGCTTGCTTGGTTCTGGCCTGTGTTCCTTGGAAAGTTCTGTAGCTATCTCTCTTGCTTTGGATTCATGTGATAGCTCTGGCTCTTTGGTTGGTTCTGGCTGTGGCTTCTCTTGAACTTCTGGTTTGGTCATCTGTGGTGGCATCTGACCTGTTTCTTCATTAGAATTTTGTTCTGCTTCAGTCTGTCCTTGTAGCCCTGGACCCTTCTCCTTACTCGACTCCGCTAACGTCCCTTTTGATTTAGACTTCTCACTTGTTCGTCTCGGCTTTTCTTTTTGGCCTGTTGGTTCGGGGACTTGCTCTGATTTTTCTTGTGTCTCCCCTTGAACATCCGGTTTTATCTCTTTCGGTTCCGGAGCAGCCTCTTCCAGTGACCCCGGAACCTTTTCCTCAACAGAGCGTCTTTGCACTTTCTTTGATGTCGCCTCCTTCTCTGACAGCTCTAGACTTGCTTTTTCAGCTGTTTTTCTTGATTCTTCCTCAGAAAACTCCAGTTTGAATTCTTCCAGTAGCTCTGAAACTTTCTCTTCAACTGACTGTCTTGGTTTCTTGTCTGGGAATTCTGGCTTAGTCTGCTCAGACTGCTGTGTGGACTTTATGTGAACCTCTTCTGGAGGCATAATAGCTGCTTCCTCAGTCGATTTTCTTAGCTCCTGGTCTGGAATCTCTGGTTTAGCCACCTCGGTCGGCTCTGTACTTTTCTCTTCGGCTGACTCTCCTTGTGTCTTCTCTGTAATTTCTGACTCGGTCATCTTTGATGGGGATAGATCTTCCTCTTCAACCGATTTTCTTGGTTTGTCACTTGGAAAATCTGGTGTGTTTTGCTCTGGACCTGTTTCTGTATCTCCCTCCCTAGGCGACTGCTCTGGAACCTTCTGCCCAGTGTTTTCTGGTAACTCTGTTCCTGTCTCACTGCTCGTTGCCTCTGGAGCCTTGGTTTCGGTAGGTAGCTGCGTGTCTGTTTCTGGATGTGGTTCTGTAAGTGCATCTACTGAGACATCTGGTGGCTGTAGGTCTGGCTCATGCTTTTCATCCTCCGGGACCTCCAAATCCTCTCCTGCTCCCCTAGATGTCTCTAATTTCAACACTTGCGTTATCTCTGCTTCGGTTTGGCTAGGTAGGTCCATGTTGGTCTCCTTGGGAATTTCTTCGGGCGTCGGGGCTAACTCTAGCAGTACCTTTTCTGCACTCCCTGGCTTCCCCTCTTCAGAGTCATCTTCCTTAGTCTTTAGTTCCTCTGGCTCTTGGTCAATCTCCGGGAGCTGCTCAGGGGTTACCTCGGCCGTGGTGTCTGATTTAGCATTATGCAATTCATGAGATTTAGTTCTTTCAGGATGTAGGTTCTCACTTTCATCTGGGCCAGAATCATAATCTTCTGGGACTGCAGCCATTACGCAGTCAGTTGACGCGCCCAGGGCCTCCTAGCAACCTCAACTTCCGACAGCGTCTCTATGGATACCACGATTTCCGGCGATGTCTTCCTGAAGCTTCCCGAGATTTTGTCGAGCCTTGCAAGTGCCGACCGTAAAAACAGGCGATCAAAAGCACGTAGCAGCCCCCCCGCCCCCCTGCGCGTCCACGTCGCTAGCTTCCTCCGGCCAGGGCTCAGACAGCTCCCCCCGCGCGGCCTCGCCGCTCCTTCCGGCCCTGGGCTCCCCCTCGGCTCTGCTCGGCTCTCGGCTGCCGCGCTCGCTTCGCCTTCGGCTGTTTCCGGAGCCGTAAGCGGCTGGCTGCGGAGAAGCTCCCCGCGCGGGCTGCAGATGTCGCACCGGCAGGCGGCTGAGGGGCCGGCCTTCTGGAGCCCCGCAGCTCGTCGAGGGTCGGCGGGCGGCGTCGGGGACCGACAGGGAGTGGAGGGGACCCAGGCGGCCGTCTCAGGTACGCAAAGGCCGGGGTGCTGGACTGGTGGGTGCCGCTCGGCTCGGGGCCGCGGACCTCGGGCGACCCGTATCCCTCACTGCCGCGGGGACAGCGGCTGTGCGCGAGGTCATTTTCTGCTCCGCTTCGAAATGTCTTGGTTCCCGCCCCGCTTCCTTTCTCAGGTCAGACGGGTTGGCAGTACCGCTCCTTCCGCCGCACCTCTTTGGCGTCAGTCGGGGTCCATGTCCCACCTCTGCTAGCACCGCGCTCACCTCCCGCCCCTTTGGCGCCCCGCGGGACCCCACCTCTGTCCCCCAGGCTCGCCTCTGGGCGCCCGCCTTCCTCTGCAGGAGCCCCGCGTTGCCCTAGCCTCTGCCCGTAGTCCCCCCCCCCCCCCGCTCCCAACCGCGGTCCCCCGCATCCTTCAGAGTGGCAGAGATGGAGAGCAGCCAGAATTGGGAGGCTTTGAGGTCTTGAAGGAGCATCCTAGTCAAGCAAAGGCAGGAACTAGAGGCTGCAGTAGAAATTTTGGAGAGCTCTCATTCTCCGTGACCCTCCCTTCTGTTGGGCCAGCGTCTCCATTTCAGGCCACACAAGTTCCTTCGTGTGAATTTATTTAAGTGTCCAAAGACAAAAGGGACAGTCTACCAAGCTGTCACCTTTCAGCCTTGTGATCATCACAGGGACGTGCAGCTAAAATAAAAGGATACTCTAGAGGGAGAGCTCTAGTCTCTCTAAGTAGCAAGTAACTGGTTTTCGAGATCTGAAAGTGTACAGCACCAAGTATAGTGACTGACGCACCGCTGTGGATCCTGGATGCTTGGCTGGAGTGTGGATTCTCTCTTTTAGTGACCTTGGACAAGTGGCTTAACTCATAAACATAGTCTGAGTTTCCTCCTTTGTAAGATGTGGGTACTGAAAGTACGCGTGCCTCACAGCGCTGGTGGGAGGATCGTCTGAGCTACTGTGACTGAAGTACTTGATATGAAACCCAGGATACCCGCTGTACAAAGCAGTTGTCTAGGATGAGGTTAAAGTCTGATTTTGCTCAGCTAAATTACCAGAGCTGCCGAAGAGGTATTCCTGGATGTATCTTACAATGTAGTGGCTTTTCTACATGTATCCCGAATATCTCCTATCGCATGGTGCTGCTACATGCACGCGTTTGTTTGTCTGTTTTGATATTATGGTAATATATCTGATATTTTGGTAATAGAAATTCTAATGGGGGTGGGCTGTAGCTCAGTGGAATAGTTCATATGTGAGGTCCGAGTTAGGCCCTAGCATCACCAAAAAAAAAAAAAAAAAAAAAAAGAAAAGGGAAAGAAATTCTAAGTATACTTTCTGAAAGATTATAAAGGTTAAGCAAATAAGCCCTTATAGAGGTATGAAGTATAAGTCTCATAAACACCTGCCCCCCATATGCCAATATTTATAAATTACATGCACGTTAATTTTTATTTCCTTATACCCGTGTGTGTGTGTGTGTGTGTGTGTGTGTGTGTTTAATTGGACCTATTTTCTAACGTATTCCTGGAGTACTCTTAACACCTTGTATTTTCAAATGTTTTTTTGGGCCGGGAGTTCTGCACATACTGGTTGAATCAGTAGGTGAAGGTTTCATTGCAAGGATTTGCCTGAACATCCAATTATACCCGGGATAACCAAGGATCCATGTTGGTGAGAGTGGTGAAACTTAACCAGAAGCGATTTGATACCTCAGGAGACAACTGGCAATATCTGGAAAGGTTTCTGTTTATCGAAGCTGGAGGTAACTGTCAAGGATACCGTAAAATGGCCTGCAGTGCACAGGCTAGCCGTTGCCGTGCAGGTCTGCTTCAGAGTCAGAAATGCTGCTTTTGAGAGCAACTCTGGCCTGGACTTAAGCCGTGACTGCAAAGCTCAATGGGAATGATGCTTGGAGCATAGTTTTATAGACTTGGGAGTAACACCTTCAAATATCAAAATTGAGTGTTTGGTCCCACTCTCCAGTAGAAAATGAGCCGAATTAACAGTAGAGATTCTAAGAAAGGATGAAAGGGAAAGATTTTTTTTGTCATCTCTTAGAAAACAGCAGGGAAAAAAACAAACAGCTATTCATTTGTTATTGAATTGAGGGTTTGAGTATTTCAATGTACCTTATTCCTTCAGGGGTTCGTCAGCATCCAGAATAACAAGAACTTGTTTTTTAACATGTATTCGTTGCTGAGGTTTTGGTAAAAGGAAGGGTTTATGTTTGTATAACCGAAAATCTCTAGTGGTTGTGGTGTTCTTAGTGTCTTTGGGGACTGTGATTGTTTTTAATAGTTTTTAAATACTGGGGCACCTGGGTTCTTCAGTTCCCCAGAAGAGAGAGAAATCATTCCTTATATCACGAAAGTCTCTGAGGAATACATATTACATCACGTAAAGGCAGGTCTGCAGAGCTCTGGGGGAAAATCAAGGACAGTGTTTATTATGATCTCAGCAGGAACTTAGTTTGATGTATATGACCAAGCTTTTGATGTTGTGGACTGGAAATGGTCAGGTGCGCTTGTTTATGGTTCTAATGTAGGACTAAGAGCAGCGCAGTATGTCCTATCGTGATGGAAGCGGTCAGTATCAGTGAGTGTTTCATGTTGAGCTCATTAGGATTTGGAATTTGGTAAATCCCCCTTAGATGGTACGGAGTGGTGGAAGTTTATGCTAAAAAGACTTTGGTTTTTTAAATTTCCTATTCTGATTTTGATATCAACATGCTAATAATTTGTTTGCCTGTGGCCTTTAAAAACTAGTGTTTTTACAACGTTAATAGCTGGTTATCATGTCATACTTGAGTTCATGCAGTGTAATATACACATGTTGTGTTTTTACAATGTTGATAGCTGGTAATCATGTCATACTTGAGTTCATGCAGTATAATACATGTGTGTTATCTGAAGGATCACTGAGGAGCCTCTCAGTCCCAGTCTTAAGTGATGAAGAGAAATTGGACCGTGTGGTTACTGGATTTAATTGAAACATAGCTGAGTTACTATGCTTTCCTTTAAGCCCCTCAAATCTAACCGCATCATCTACTTTTGGATCCTCTGCTGTGGAAAAAACAAAGCTGAGATAATTATTTTTGTAGCTGTTTAGTGAAGGGGAAGTCCTATGAGTTCTAAAGAAACCTTGACCTAATACTATTCACAGACTTTGGAGAAAACCTGCTTTCTGGCTTTTTTGTAAAGAAACACCAGAATAATGCAGTGAGCTCAAGTCTGTAGCTTCATCAGAATGTCTGAGCCACACTCAGTAACCCCAGAAGAAAATCATTTTTTGAAAATGGTCAAGAGCCATATGTGGTGGCGCAGGCCTTTAATCCTAGTGCTTGGGAGGCAGAGGCAGGTGAATCTTTTGTGAGTTGGAGGCCAGCCTGGTCTACAGAGTGAGTTCCAGGACAGTTACTTAGAGAAACCTTGTCTTGAAAAACAAACAAACAAACAAAAAAAAAACCCAAACCAAACCAAACCAGAACAAAAAATAAAGAAAGTGGTCAAATATAAATTATTTGAAGAAGGCTTCTGTTTTGTGCCTCGCTTTGCTGTCAAGGTCATAAACTGTTACTTGCAGCTTCCTGTTCTCCTCCTCCACATATTGTTTCCAAGACCTTGGCCAGTTAGGAAGCATGGCAGTAATCTTGTCACATTCGAGAATACCTCACTTCACTACTATGTGATCACTGTTTAAAATTTTTATTTCAGTCTTAATGTTATACATGGTATTACTAGCCTGTCCTGTTTTCTCTAGAAGTACAGGGAGAATTAGCTTATATTTGACTGGCCAATTAAAGTCTGCACTATCGAAAAATTGGCTTTTCCTTTTTCATAGTGATTTAAGTTTCAGAAACCTAAAGGGATATGTTTATACTTGTTTTTTTCTGTCTCTCTCAGACAACACTCCATCTTCCCACACTATACTTCTGGAAATACACTTAAGTTTTTCTTTGCCCTTTTTACTTCCTGCCTATCCGAATCCAGTTGGAAGTTGTTTTATCAGCAGTTCTTGCATAATTTAGGGCATTCCTTTAGACTTAAAAAATAAAATAAAAAAAAGTCTTCTCATTTTTTCCCTGCATACATCAAGCTGCTTGAAAAAGGAAGCTATTAGCAGTGATTCTTAATACGTGAAATTTGCGCAGCCTGACTGATAAAGAGAAATGGAAATGACTCACTGTCTTGGTACAGGTGCACAGAACACATTCATGCCTAACTCTACAGCAGTGGTTCTCAACCTTGCTAATGCTGCAACCCTTTAATGCAGTTCCTCATGAAATTATTTTGTTTCTATTTCATAGCTATAATCTTGCTACTGTTATGGATTATAATGTAAATATCTGATATGTAGGATATCTGATATGCAATCTTTATGAAACAGTCATTCATCCCCAAACAGGTCATGACCCATAGGTTGAGAACCGTTGCTCTGCTAATGTCCATCAGAATTAGAACAGATTTTCCATTGGCCCATTTCTATGCACAGTCTGTTCTACAGGTTTATTCCTGTGTAAGAATGTAGAGACATCTGGGTGGTGGTGGCAGTGCACACCTTTAGCTCAGCATTTGGGAGGCAGAGGCAGGATGATTTCAGTGAGTTCAAGGCCACTCGGGTTTAAAAAGTGTAGGGTGTCAAAGAAACACACCCTGAGCAGAGCCAAAGAAACACATTTTGGCCCTTCAACCAGAACCAAAGAAATGTACCCTGACCCTGAAACCAGTGCCAAAGAAACACACTTTGTCCCTGGAATCAGAGTCAGTGAAAGAAATGCACCCTGGCCTTAAAACTAGAGCCAAAAGGCTAAAAAGGACCAGAGAAAGAAACACACTTTGGCCCTGAAACCAGAGACAAATCTGACCCTAACCCTGTGCAGAAAACTAAACAATCCTTGAGCAGGAGCTCTAGCCAATGTGAGCTCAGCATTGAAATCTAACCAATCCACACCCTGGAAAACTCCGCCCTCTAAGAAGCCCTATATAAACCCTGTGTCTGTTTAGTTTGTT